TTTTTTTTTTTTTTTTCTATCGCGATGGAAATCCTCATGGACTTCCCGCGCCGTGGGGACGACGAGGGGGCGTGCCGGACTCATACCGGCTAAAACCACCGCGGTGTTCCTTCACTGCCTGTGACCGTGACCCGGGTTGCCCTTACGGAATCACCACACCCGGCAGGCCTCGACCTACCGCTATGTTTGCGGCAGGTCCCGCCACCTTAGCGGCCCTAGGAGGCTGCTTTCCTTCTTCGAGTAGCGCGCGTGGAACACTACGCTAACGCCTACTCCCGCCTATATAGCGGACGTCTGACTCCCCCGGTCAGTTGTCCGCAGGCCTCTCCTCTCATGGAGGTCGCAGATCGGCTGCCGCTTCACGGCGCTGACGACCGGCGCGTCTACGGCGAGAGGGGAGAGGACTTGACGCCTCTCTCTCCCTTTCAGCCGCTTCCTTTTCCAACATCACTTGTTCACAAAAGGAAGCGACTCCGTCCCATACGCTCTCGCTGTCGACCATAGCTCGTACAACAGTCGACAGTGACAGGTTACTCCCGCCGAGTACTGCAAAGAGTTCACGACGCGGCTCTGCCCATGCAGTACACTCTTCGAGCGTATGCCGCGCCGTATCCTCCAAACCACCATCACAGTGATGACACGCCGATGTTTGCTCCCGGCCTATGCGACACAAGTACTTTCCAAAGCAGCCATGTCCGGTAAGTACCTGCGTCAACCGGAAGCTTAGGACACCATGTCCTCTGTCGATCCACGCCTCCATAACGGGACTTACCGCCGCTATAATGGCGTGCCCTGCGCTAGGTTGCGCAAGTCGTGTCTTCCACTCCGCTATTACATCACGACGGAGTTCTATCCGCCGCGCCTCAAGAACTCGAGGTGGATATCGCTCGCCGCGGGCACTCAGCTCCCCGCGCCACCTGTATAATGACGCGAGAGCCTTTGCTTCCAAGTCCCAGGGTGGGGATCCCGCTAAGAGGCTGGCAGCCTCGAAAGAGATCGTGCGGTAACCCCTTATCACTCTGACGGCCATCGCGCGTTGAGGACTTCGTAGTAATGCGACGTTAGGCGTCGTCAGTCCATCCGCCCAAACCGGTGACCCGTAAAGGGCCATAGACCGCACAATCCCCATGTATAACCGCCGACAGGATGAATTAGGGTTCCCCAAGTTGGGAAGCAGACGCGAAAGCGCCGCTGCCGCACCCCTTAGTTTGGGGACCAGTTGACGAAGGTGTGGTCCGAAATCCCATCGACTGTCAAGGACCAGACCGAGATATTTCATGGTCGAATTTACAGCAATACGAACCCCTCCAACCACAATATGCGAGCCTGCCGGTGGACCCCGCCGAGCCCTATGGAAACAAAGTGCCTCGGATTTATTAAGAGCCACCTCTAGACCCAAACGCCGGATCCTTGACACAACTTGCGCAACACCTGCTGTTGCTAGTAGCGCAGCGTCCCGGTAACTCTTCCCGCGTGCCGTCACCAGCGTATCGTCAGCATAGCAGGTCACTACAACGCCGTGGAGAAGAGCACCACGAAGTACCCAATCATACCCAATGTTCCACATGAGCGGTCCCAGGACCGATCCCTGTGGAACACCGGACGATACCTCTCGTCGACCCCATCTCTGAGCACCCGGATAGATTATCGCTCTTTCCGATAGGTAGGCCTCGACTGTGCGGCGGAGGTAGGCAGGCACTCCGTGATAGCGGAGTGCCTCCTTAATACAGCTCCAGGGCAAAGTGTTAAATGCATTGGCGATGTCTAAAGACACCGCCAAGACCACCTCACCCCGGGACACAGCTTCCTTCGCCATGGTCTTTACTCGCATAATGGCATCTACAGTTGAACGCCCCTGACGGAATCCAAACTGGTTGTCCGCCAAATCTGGCCCTTCTGATGAAAGGTGTTGAATGAGGCGGTCAGTAATGATTCGCTCAAACAACTTGCCTACCTCATCCAGCAGCACGATGGGCCGATAGGCGGACGGGGAGTCTGCTGGGCGTCCTGTTTTCCTGATCAGAACCAGTTTTCCGGTTTTCCATCGCTGTGGAAATTGGCCCTGTTCTAAACATGCACTCAGAAGATTTCGCAGTCGAGGGCCAAGAGCCTCCATGGCCAGAACCCATGCCCGACCAGGAATTCCGTCAGGCCCAGGGGCGGTATTTTTGGCCTTGAGTCTGAGCACTGCCGTTTTGAGCTCGGCCTGGGTAACCTCAGGCACTTCGTTGCCACTTTCAACGTCTCTTGCGATGGGCGCCGACGGAGGAACCATGGGTGGTGGTGTGTGATCTTCTCCCGCCGGAAATAGGACACTCACAATATTTTGCATCAACTCCGGCCGCAGACTCTGGGTTAATGGAGGCGCCCAAGGGCGAAGTTTACCCCGCACAGCGAGGTATGGGCGTCCCCATGGATCCCTATTTAATGCTGCTTGCTGCTGCTCGCGGGCCTCGGCCTTGGCCCGCACAATGGCAATTTTGAGTGCCTTTTTTGCCGCCCTATAAGAGTTATACAGTTCCGCCTCGACAATGTGCGCGTCCGGTGCACGCCGTCGTCTCCGCCGATATCTGGCATACTGACGCCTAGCGGCCATGCAGGCAGCACGAAGGTGCTCGATGTCTTGAGACCACCAATATACCTGAGAGCGCGCGGGCAGTGTACGCTGTCGAGGCATCGCCGCATCACAAATGTTTGTCATTGCCGCCTGGAACCACTGCGTTTCTGTGTTTATGTTCTCAGGCCTGTCTGCTGCAGACACAGACACCCAAGCTTGGACGATGGCGGCTTCACGGAATAGTTCTCGCTTGAGCTTCTTCAGTGTCCACCGTGGACCAACGTCAACAGGAGCTGCCGTAGCTGGGCGGACCGAGGTTTGGGCAGAGACGTCAAATCGGATGTAGCGATGATCTGACAGCGTTTCCACCTCCTCTAGGACTCGCCAATCCTGAACACGACGCGCTAGGGCGGGGGTAGCGAATGTTAAGTCCACTATCGAACCCCCACGCATACGTACGCACGTGTTAATGGAACCTCTGTTGAGTAGGGCTAATCCGTTCTCAATAGCCCACTCCTCGACTTCCTGACCACGAGCGTTGGTAGCTGGTGATCCCCATGCCACTGATTTGGCATTGAAATCACCAAGGACTAATATCGCACGAGGGTGATTACGACCAACGACAGTGCCCAACTCGGATAAGAAGCTCTCAAATTCAGCGAGAGGTTTGTTTGGAGAGAAATAGATACCAATAACCACTATCTCTCCAAACAACGCCGCTACGTATCCTCGTCCCTTGACGATTTCTTGAAATGTCGGGGAATCTACTGTGGTCCTCGAGATTAAGGTCACCAAACCATCGGCATCGCAAATCCAGTCGTCTCTGGCCGGTACAAACCATGGTTCAGCGACCACCG